ATCCTGGTTTTTGATTCCCATCGAATGTGGGTATTTCCAGCAACAAATGACGGTAGACGTGTTACAAAACACACAAACTAACAGGCTTTCATTGTAGCGTCATATGATCCTATGCCTGCACTAAGATTTTCTAACAATCATCTACCACTTATCCGTAGTATACATTAGGATATCAGGTATTTAGGTGCTGAAAAAAATAAAGGAAATACGCTGTCCCAGAAAGCATCTTTCATATATTTACCTAAATTTACAATGCCATCAAGGAACCCTCATCAGTGTGGAGTTCTGACTATGTTTTAGACAAACATCGGCATTGCTCATGCCCCCGAAAACCAACGCCAACTTCCCGATTTCATGGATTTCGATGTGCAGAATGTGACTGCCGTAGCCGAATTTTATCTCCTATCTAGCGATTTGTCAGAAGGAAAGATTCTGCATCTTGCCGGACTTCTGTTTGATAGTATAAACGTCAGCGGCCTCTTTCAAGAGCGAAGCATTTGGTCATCAATGAATGCTGGGTGGAAAAAGCATACATTAAGAAGACTTGGACAGCTGGCCACGGATGCGGTTTCCAACGATATAGGTGTGACCTGTATCCTTTAGACCAGAACGCCTACCCACACAGCAGCTACGAACTTAGTGAGATTGTGTGATTGAAGTCAAATGAAGAGAAATAATGAGAAAGGTCGCAAATGTTTACTTATTCCTGGAATGAAAAAATCATATTCCTCTTTCTTATTTCGGCCGAACGGGAAGCGATCTAAGCAGGTATAAAATTCAAATGAGAAATAAGTGTAAAACTCGCAAATACAGTAGATGTACTATCTGATGGGAGGTTAATCAAGATTCAAGAATACATTTCCAATTCGAAATGATTTCTTAAGTGGTCTTGTAAGATCAATTATATTTAATCTACGATAGGATGTCAGCTTATTCAAGAGCCAGTTTTCGGCCGCCCGTATACACTACACATTGTAAAAATGTGCCTACTTACGTAATATGCATTTTCGTCGACTATTTTAAGTACCCTGCTGAATTAAAATATATATTAATAAAGCAAGCTTAAATGTTCTTTATTTTCCTCATTTGGTAAAAAATTTCGTCGTCTTTGCAGTTCCTACTCGACGAAAGAGTTTTTCGGTTTTCTAAAAGTTTCTAATTGTGAGACTTTTGCAAAACGTGCAATGTCCAGTCGTACAGCATCCAAACAGCACATTTATTAACGTCGCTTTTAAAGTGTTAACCTGTTCCAAATCCATTGCAAAATTCTGTGAGCCCTTTATGTCCTCTTCATAACACTGCCTGGATATACGTGATTTTTCTTGTGCCAAAGTATGCAGTCCGTAGTTTGGATGCCCTGGATGCATACGTAGCGACAGATCGGAATCAAAATAATGCAAGAACCCAGAAAGTTCTTTACAACCTAAATATGCTATTCCTATAGGCATTAAATCTAAAGACGAAATTCGCTACCCAATGTGTGCAGGAAAGAATACCTTTTCATATAATTTCTATAAGATATTTTCAAATGTGTTAGAGTCATTTTTGTATGGAATGCGATATATGCTAGCGGTCGATATGGGATCCATTTAAAACCCGGCATCTTGAAGTGACGGCAATATCTCAATACCATACGACGTGATAAATAGTTTGAGGATTATACTTAAATACTTAAATATATAAATATATTTAAAAATATATAATGTTAGGGGGCGCTCACCGATCGTTCATACGGAACTCACTCGTTCCGTTGTGCCTTAAGGGCTCTCTCTCGAGCCCAACCAGCAGCCGCGCAGCGGCGCATGATATATAGGCAGAATGCTATTACCGACAAAGACACAGGAGACTAGAATGGCCATTTCTGGCTTATTAGCCGTAGTCAGCCAGCCATACCCAGGCCTGAAGTGTGGAACACTCGAGCCTCGAATTCGCGACCTGTTGACTTCTAAACCAACAGGTTGCGAGTTCGAGGCTCGGGTGTTCCACACTTCGGGCCTGGGTATGGCTGGCTGACGACGGCTAATAAGCCAGAAATGGCCATTCCAGTCTTCCTTGTCTTTGTCGGTAATATAATTCTGCCTATAAAAATATATATATATAATATATTAATTTAATATATTTACACAATAATAATAAATAATATAATAATAATATAATAAGTTTCTGAGTTGCAATACCTTCGATGGGTGCTCAGAGCGAAAAGCTACTAGCGCAACTTTCCCAATAGGTTCATGAGCTAACACGACGAGAGACGCAATTCGCACAGCCTACACTTTTGCGAGCGCCCCCGTACGTGAAGAGCGTCTCGAAAGCTGTCAGTAGCCGTCTCACAGCACTTGGAATTGGAGTTGCTCACTGACCAGAAGCAACCTTCAGGCGCCAAGTAATTTGGCCAAGAGACCCACTGTCATGATAGAAAACGTTTGGAGTAGTTTGCCGGATCTATTGCGGTTGCGGACAAAGGAACTACGTCGGAGAAACTTGGAGATCAATCCGCGTCCGGGCGGTCGGACAGTCAGCAGAAGTGAGAAGGAAGTATGCTAGCTCCCGGGTCGTGGCTAATTCGACGGATCCCGGCCACACCTTCGAGTTTGACGAAGTCGAAATTCTCGCGAGGTGACAACCACATCAGCGCGAGTAGCTTAAGTCATGCTTCTCCGATCCGCAGTGGCTTAACAAGTGCAATGACCTCCGCCTCCATATTGTGGATAGAGTAATTAGCCAAGCGAGGAGGGCGCGGACAATCAATAGTTGGTGATAGCGAGACGAACTTCCCACCGCCTCAAGATCCGACAACAGCGCTGACATTAAGTCAAGCAACGCTTCGGATGCTAACTGACCAGCAGCGAGCGTGACTGAGAATCCGAAACGTCACACGAATAATCCTCTTGTGCCATCAATCGGGTATTTTTCTTCTGAACTGCATACTGAAACCTGATCCCCTGATTCTATCGGCAATTTACTGCTTGATACGCCACACGGGAATGGTGAGGTTTGCGACACGAAAGACAGCACGGACATAAATCGGTCAAGGAGGAATTGTCCTCAGAAATGTTACTGCTAATGTTTGGGAAAGACGATGGGGCTGTAGACATGATGGCAGTTTGTTAGCAGGTAAAAAGGGAATGTCATAGCGCCTTATGAAGCCAACGCAGCAATTGCATTGTTACCCTCGCGAGGCATGTTCTGAGGGCAGAAAGGAAGTAAACCCGGTCAATTTAAAATGCAGACATAACTTTGAACAAAATCTTGCCGTCTTTTTGAACATCAAGTGCCGGCGGATGACTACTTCGAGTTCAACCTTAAACGTCCTTTGGTGTGACTGAGCAGTGCGGATTGCTCATAAGTCACGTGCTGGTTACTTTTTTCACGGTTAACTCACAAAACAACCTAGTGATGTCTTCGTCGTCAGGATGGTTTTCACATGGACAATGATACTTTGCTGTTAGCTTAGACTGAGCACTTCAGTGACTTTGTGTCACGACAGATGCACTGCTCACGACAATTACATAACCCACTCGTCTCCTGTAACACCAAAACATCCTAAAGGTCGAAACATTACTCGTTTTTAGAGATGGCATAGTTCTCTCATTTCTCAATTCTTTAAACTCTAATGCCTCTTGGGGGTGCTTCTTTGCTAGACTGACAGCTCAAATAGAAGTGGGTAGCAAAACTAGCTAATGAACTAACTCCGCGTGTGCAGTTTAATTTCGAATGGTTTGACCATGATCTGGACGGTCCCTAGTTTGATATCCAACGGTCTCGTTGTCCCAATTCCCATTACATACGACAGCTTACGGACTAGGGGTCACCTTTGGGACAGGCGCGGAGCGGTGGGGAGTTAACTATCGCATCGAGTGCAACCACCTGTGAGGAATGCAGCAGTTGCATCTTTTGAAAGCCATCCAGTGGCATACCGACTGCAGCATCTGTGCGACTCACAACCAATATCTGCATTTCGCCTCTGGTGACGGATTCGAGTGTGAATCCGAAACGTCAGGCAACAAGGGAACTCCAGTCGTCTCGCCGGTCTCCAGTCCAATGGCAGAACTGGTCCTACGGGAGTTAGAAGATATAGCCTTCATCCAACATGAGCTGGCATTTCTGCGCCGTTACGAAGAGGACACGCTTACTATCGCAAATAAGGACCTGCTACAACGTTCCAACAACCTGCTCAACGCAATCTGCCCCGATATAAACTTCACTAGTGAAGAACAGACGCAGCAGGTGCCCCTTCTTGATGTACTCGTCAGACGAAACTTTAACGGCAAACTTGAAATGATGGTTTATAGAAGGCCAACGAACGCCAAACAGCTTCTCAGTTTTCACAGCAGCCATCCGGTGGCACACTAACAAGGCTCTGTGAAGACGCTCTCCAAACAGATCCGGAGGAAAGAGCACGTGATACACGTTATCTCTGCGAACAGCTTCTGCACACTGACTATCCGACGACATTCATAAAGTGTTGACTACGCGGTCCCAAATAACAACACCACCAACGATATGACGTTTTTTGCCGTGCATTAAGGGCGCCTCAGAAGCGATCGAGCGCATTGCTGCCGAGCTAGGTGTTGGAAAAGCACACCCTCCGAAGTCACCAAGCGCAGCAGGGTCATGGAAATCAAATACTGATTAAATCCCGAGGCGCAATCTGCGGTAGTGTACGCATCTTGTGCCAAAACTGCCCTTGTAGCTACGCAGGTCAGACTGCACGCGCGTTCGGATGGCACATAAGTGAACATAAGCTAGTTGTGCGACGAGGCGCTGAATTATCACAAGTGGCTGCCCCCACACACACACGAAAGGCGTCATAAGTTTAACTTCGCAGCCACCAAGATAATTGCTCACACCGGAAAAAAACAGACCGAGATGTGATTGAGACCTCGATCCCAGATGAAAACTCAATCGATTTATTTGTCCATCTGGAGACCGGCGTACAGAACCCGGGGCAGTCATCTCCAATCTTGTGCAGTCCACCAGTGATTGGCCAGCTCCCCCTATAATTATCGATTGTTCTGTCGCGGCCACCATCTCTGACGATTAAAACCTGCATGAGTTCGAAAGGCCAGAACAACAAACAGACTGTCCCCGTGCTCGATCAGCCTTCTACACTTGAACAACGTTAGTGTCTCCCCTGGTCGCGCCTCCTTTCGGACCCAAAAGGTTCACTTTTTTCAGAAATGACAGCAGCGATGTTAGCAATTACATGGAATAACCGCGAAAACTCTCTTGCCAGAACCCCATCCGCGTACACCGTTCCGTTAGTGAAGGAATCCCCACCCTGACCTGCTCCAGAGGCGGCCGCATACGCTGGAAAGGAACTAGGCTCAGGTAGCTTGAAAGCAAATGACAGAAAAGCAACTTCTGGAGTAGGAATGTTCACTAGACGATCTGAATAGACAGCAGTTGGAGGTTTAAATTACCGCGTTACAGAGCGGTGGGGGATTGAGGGATCGAGGAGAAAAAGTGAGGACACGAATGAAGAAAATGAAAGATCACAAGTGTTTTGGTTGGTCGTACGCCTGCCCGCCCCTGTGTAGATGCCCCAAAGAATGGTAAGGCATTGTTCACTTGGCCAGTACGACTGACCGTTCCAGGGAGAAATTGTACGAAAACTGCAAAATAAAATAACTGATATTAATGAAGGCTGGAGGGTATTTGAAACATTTCGGGAAAGGGCAACAGACCACTCGATGGCAATAACGTCTCACTCGCCCTGATTGATCGCCGAGTATCGTAACTTTAAGGCATGCAGATGATACGTAGGGAAGAGGAATAACCCGAGGAATAAAGGCCAAAACGAAAATTCCTCCACTAGTAAGGCAGTCAACTGGTTGCGACGCCTAAACTTTCTATCGGAACGATACACTTGGTGGCATGAGGATGCGAAACCGAAGCCGCGTACACTTCCGTACTTTACTGCCGTGGGGCGGGGTGTTTTCACACCCTCATCAACAAACGTCTGATGCAGTGACAGGTCTCCAAAATGACTGGGGAGTTGTCGAGGCTTTGTCGCGCAGCCCAGTTAATTTTGGGGTTTGAGACAGTGCCCAGGCAAGCACACGGCGATTACTGATGCATTGTAGAGGTCAACCCCCGCCTGAGGTCATGCCGGCAATTGTTTACCGCGTCAGATATCCTGAATGTTTGACTAATTGCCCTGGCATGATGGGCAGGCGACTGTCGGAGACCGTGCACGCGTGAGTCCAACGCAGTGGCGCAGACTGACTTACAATCCGACTTCGCTAAGCACGACTACGAGAACAGTCAATAATTCAGCCCTGACAGAGTGTGAAAGCGCTGGAGCACATCAAGGGCGAGACGGCTCGATAAATACTGCAGGCCAGGCGCTTTGACGCCAACCCAAGTACCCGCAGACCATGACCTAGCGCAAGCACATGACACGACACCCGACACCACATCAAAAGGAAGGGAGCAGCGCCAGTCTACGCACCTCACCTCTGATAAGGTGCTCTGGTGTGAGCGTCAGATGTCAGACGAGAATACAAGTGGACTGGAATGGTTGCAAATGAAGATGAGCGTCCCTCTCCGCATAGATGAAGAGACAAAAAGGCGACGACAAATTCAACTGCGGTTACGGCAATTACAATGGTTATACCGGTCAGAGGGCACGCAGGCGAATACACTGACATGAGTTAATTGTCAGGCGGAAAAATTTTCCCTGGCGGCCTCGCACTCATCCTCACATTATAGCTCTGCCCTTGACTCCGTGGCAATCTTGAGTCAATCAGATGACCCGCTTGAGTGCTCGTCGAGGAAAGCGCTACATTTGATGACCGATGTCTCAACTAATAGTCACATCGATCGACCAGTCGCTTATCCAGCCCTAGAGCGGACAAGTTTGCAGAAAATCTGAAGGTTACTTTTCGCAAAAATGAATGTAGTATACGGTGAACTGTCATGCGAATCAACGACTGGTCCCGTAAATCACCCCCCCCCCAGCTTCCTCATCTATTCAATTGACTAACCCTTGCAAACTTTCTACAGTTCGGCAGGTATGGATAATATGAGTCGATCCACGAACCTGACCCGTCAAACACCCATAGGAACCCCATCACGGAGACCATGAAAGTACGAAATAATCAGCATTTGTAGCCTCTGGCCAACGGTGCATTCGCAGTATCGCGACGGGTGGGTCCTTGACGGTAGATTTCTTCCCACCGTCTGGTCACAGGGCTGTTACGCGCGAAACATGCTGATATGCCGGTTTTCGGGCGTATTGTCGGAGGCTGGGACCTAAGACGGTCTTCTCAACCTGTCCTGTTGTCTGCCCCTGTCGCCCATGCCAAATGCCTGACCCGTTACCGAAAGTCAGTAGACACATCCTCGAGCAGACAATATGTGCACAAGGAAGGGCTAACCATGAGACTTTTTAAGACCTTGAAATCTTCATTCATAAAGCATCGTTTCCATCCATTTAGTGAGGCAACATCCGTTGCAAATTTTAATGAGCCCATGTGACTTCTTAATAGGATACGGAAATATATGATTTTACTTTTACGCAAAATATAAAGCCTGTGGTTCTGGATCCCGGGATGCATGTCCAATGGCAGGTCCGGTTAGAGACTATTCGGGAATTGAAGACGTTTGCCAAAGCTTAGAGATATCCGTTCTTCACGAATAAATTTCAAGGACGACATAATTTCCTACCAAATGAGTACGCAAAAGCACATGTTTGTATGTTTTCTGTAAAACATAACATAGCGTAACAAACATACCTTAACCCCTAACTCTGACCACCAAGTATATACCCTAAATAGGCCTGTGGACGTTTGTACCAATTCTGTCGCATCCCCTTTGGTGTGACCAACGGGGTTGCGTGCTTCCAGCGTACCATTGACCACATAATTACGCGCGGGCGTCTAAAGAATATTTTCGTCTACGTGGACAATATCACTGTTTGAGAGAACCGCCTTGCGGAGCATGATTCAACCCTTCGAAAATTTCTTAACGTGGCCGAAAAGTATGGAATGAAGACAAAAGCGTTATTGCTGTCAAACAAATCAAACTTCTTGGTTACATGGTTTCCAGGGGTAACATTAGGCCACATCCGGGTCGTTTACGGCCCTTGAGTGAAATGGCTCCTCTGCAAGATCTTATGTCTCAACAACGAGCCGTGGGACTGTTCGTATACTACTCGCAAGTGATATCTCTTTTTTTCAGATAAAATTCATCTGCTCATCCATAACAAAACTTCCCCTTTACCATTGAAGGTAATGAAATCATTTCTGGTTATTAATGAGGAACTTGTGAAAGCCACTGTTCAGTACGATACCCCATTAGCTGTCGAGACTGAGGCTGCAGACGCCGCAATCGCTGCCACACGGAATCAGAATGGTCGACTAGTAGCGTTACTTTCACGGAGCCTCTCCAAAGTCGGTAGGCAAATCCTCCGGGAGACACGATGTGCACAAGGAAAGGCTAACGCCCACGTTTCTCGCCTTCCAGGAACAGCAAGTAATGGTGTGGGCGTTTGTAGTCGGCTGAATGGAGGCACAGTGCGCGTGCTAACTCGTGAAATGTTAATCAAAATTCTGAAATGCGCCACCGATTCCATAGCAATACTAAAGTGAGATTTTAATATTTATTTTCATGCAGCATAATTCCGAGATGTTTCAGCCGCGCTGGGATGTCCGAGTACCAGTATAAATCACACTTTGTAAACAAAAGTGGCTACATAAATAGTGTGAGCTTTTCCCAGTGATTTTCGATGCCGATTTAAATTTATGGCAGGATCCTACATCGTAGCCGTACCTGTTAGGGGTTAGGGTTTAAGGATCAGAGTTAGAGGTTAAGGTATGTTCGTTTGGTTGTTCTACAGAAAACATACAAACATGCTTTCGTGTACTCAATTGGTAGAAAATTATGTCGTCCTTGAAATTTATTCGTGAAGAATGGATATCTCTCAGTTTTGGCAAACGTCTTCAATTCCCCAATAGTTTTTAACCGGACCTCCCAATGAAGATGCACCCCGGGTTCCAGAACTACAACCTGGAGTCAAGCGTAAAAGTAAAATCACAGACTTCCATATCCTATTAAGAAATCACATGGGCTCATTAAAATTTGCAATGGATGTTACCTCAATAAATGGATGGAAACGATGCTTTATGAATTAAGATTTCAAGGTCTTAAAAAGTCTCATGGTTAGAAACGTCCTCCAAACTAAAGAATACCATTTCTTCAAGTCTAAATTATGAAAAAGACGTTATTTGCCTCAGAATTAGTGCAAAAAGTACTATTTTGTGCATTTTCTATAAATGATCGAATTTGTAGGGGCATCGATACAACCGAGGGAAATTTATACTACTCAAGTTATCATTTTTCATAAAATG